CTTGTTACTTTCTTAAATATTAATATTTTTTAATCAATTTAGGCTTATTTTCTTCACCGTGAATCACAGTATCTAAATAAAAACATGCAAGTAATGAAAATTTTTTATTACTAATTGTTTATATAAATTAATAACAAACTCCCCAAATATAGAAAAAGTAATCTAAGTTTTTATCTAGCAACAATAAGTATAAATAAGTGACACATGTTTGTAAGGGTTTTCGAGGTCGCTGATTACGAATATGATGTTAAATTGACAATTTGACAGTTGACAGCTGTCAACTTCTCTAAAAAGTGATCGTTTTTTGTAAAAAAGACAGTAATAAGGTTTTTGAGGTCGCTGATTACGAATATGATATCAAATTTGAATTTTAACTGTTGACAGTTGTCAAAGAAACTGGCAACTTTTCTAAATAATAAAAAATTATCGTCTTCGTTATTTTAATTTGTATAATAACAAAGAATCAGTTTTTTCGTATTTTTACTCTTGTTTCTTTTGACTTAAATTTTTTTTTTTAAACATCTAATCAACTTATGATTTTTTGGTTTTCACCATCTTAAAGAGCGTTTCAAACCCTATCCGAATCAACAAAAAAGTAAAAAATGATTTTTTGACACGTAAGGTCCCTTTTCATAGACCAGGTTACATTTAATGATTAAATTTAAGAAAAATTTGAAATAGTGGTTGCAGGCTTCACAATGCCTCTAAAGAGCATTTAAGGGGAAATAGGGAACTGAAAATTTAAAAATAGGAGACTTTTAGGGGACCATAAAAAATAGTTAAATAAAGATAAAAAATATAATTTATTTATACAGGGTTGCTACAAAAATTTTACTTTATTTTTCCCTGACTTTTCCCTGATTTCCAAATATAACTTTAACTTATTCCCTAACCCTAAAGAATATTCTGATTCACTCACAAAATTATTAGATACTCAAAAAAATGTTCTATTAAATTTATTTACAAATTTCTTAAAAGTAAAATTATTCGAAAACATCAATAGTTTTATTTAAAATAAAAATTTAATCATTTTTTTCATTGGAATTAAGATGTTCAAAAATTTTTAATTCAAACATTTTCAAATTAAACAACTCCTAATAATCAGAAATGACCGACTGACAAAATCATTATTTTATTATTATAAGAATATTGTTACTGTAATTTCTTCAAAATTATTTGTATCATTTCAATTAAATTAACATTTTCTAGAATTTTTAACTAAAATTCCACTTTCAATCAATAACATCAATTATTATTCAATTAAACATTTTCAAAAAAATTAATTCTACAGAATAGTTAGTTAAAAGTACGAAAAACAATAATTTAATTCTACGAGAAATCAATTATTTACATACAAAAAATAAATAATATTGAATGTTTCCTAAAATTTAATTTTTACGAAGAATTGTATTAATAACTTTTAAAAATATTTAATTTCTTTTAAGGAATTTAATTAAAATTTTAATAAAATTTATTATATTAAAGAATTTTATAACAATTTTTGAAAATAATTGAAAACTTTTTGAAGAATTTTATTAAATTTTTTAAAAATAATTGAATTTCTGAGCAGAATTTAAATAATAATTGTTGAAAACAATTAAATTCATGAGAAGAGTTTTATTAAAACTTTTTTAAATAATTGACTTCTTCAGAAAAATTTTTAAAAAAATGTTGACAATAATTAAATTCATGAGAAGAATTTCCCTTTCTATTTATAAACATAATTTAATAAATTATTCACGAGAGTTTTTAAGAAATTTTGAAAATAATTGAATTTCGGCAAAGTATTTTATTCCTTTTTAAAAGAATTGAATTCTTGTGATGAATTTTGATATTTATCAAAATAATTGTATTTTTGAAAAGAATTTTATTAAAATTCCTTACAATAGTTGATTTTATGAGAAGAATTTATGCGATTTTGTTGTTTATCAAGCTAATTAAATTCTTTTGAAATAACATAAAAATTTTTGAAAATAATTGATTTTTTGAGACGAATTAAAAGGTATTTATGAAAATATTTGAATTATTGCTAAAAATTTTATTGTTTTATTGAATAATTGAATGTTTCTTAAAATTGAATTATTTCCACTAGTTTTAATAACAATGACCTTTTTCAAGGAATTTATTTAAAATTGTATTAAAAATATTTGAAATTCTGCGATAAAAATAATTAAATTCGTAAATGAAATTTTATTATTTATGAAAGTAATTAAATCTTTTCGTAGAATTGTATTAACAAGTTTTTTCTATAATTAAATCTGTTGATAAATTTTATGAAAATAGTAAATATTTAAAAACATTAAATTGCGAAAAACTTTTTAAAATAATTGAAATTTTGCAAACAATTTTATTTAAATTTTTGAAAATAATTGAATATTTGGCGAAAAATTTTGCTATTTACAAAAATAATTGAATTCTTGACGAGATATTCATTAAAATTTATAAAAATCATTGAATTCGTGCAAAGTATTTTATTGAATTTTGTTTAAATAATATAAATTTTGACAAGAATGTAAATAAAAAATTTTGACAATAAAATTGAATTCTTGAGAAGAATTTTGATATTTATCAAAATAATTGAATTTCGGAAAAGAATTTTATTGAAAATCCTTAAAATAATATTAATTTCATGGAGAGAATTTTGTTGATTATCAAGATAATTGAATTCTTTTGCAGAATTACTTAAAATTTATTGAAAATTAATTGATTTCCTGCAACAAAAAAAATAGGGGAAATTTTCAAAATAGGGAACGTTTAGGGGTCAAAATTAAAAAAGGGGACTTTTAGGGAAATAGGGGACAGACTCTGAAGCTTGTGGTTGAAATATGTTTTAAAATTTTGTTTATAAAATAACCTAATTTTATTATTTTAATCAATTAATTAGGATAAAGTGGAAATAATAAATGTAATAAGAACTCACGAAATATAAAGTATTTTCGATAAACTTCTAAATTTTCTTAACACTTTTTTGTGTTTTTTTAGGTTAATACACTGGGGTCAAAAAGTTTCAGTACATTTGTACTGATTACTGTTAAGTGCTCGCTTCACTTAAAATTCAAATATTTCTGTAAAAATGTATGTAAGAGCTATCAAAGTAGGATCATTTTAAAGTTCAATATTATTAGAGTCAAATAGGCTAAGATATAACCAATTTAATAGTGTAAATATTAAAAATATGATTCTTTAAAGTTAGAGATTTTTTGTGAAAATTGCGATTTTGAAATCCGGAATTCAAGCGTACGCCAATTAAAGAAATTTTTTTTTAAAGTTTTGATAATTGCACAATAAAAAGTACAAATTTCATTCTTTAATTCTAGACCAAAATAATTCACATATATTAAGTAATTTCTTCAAATTCTATAAAAATAATATCTCTTGCTCTAAATTTTTCGAAGAATATAAATTGCAAATTCGTCGTTTTCATTCACTTGTTCAATCAAATAACCACACTTTTGAAAAATATAGAACATCTTCATCTTAGGAAATTTAAGTTGTTGACATGAAATTTATCCCTTTTCTTATAATTTTACAAATTTTAACTCTATCATTATTCCTTATTTTCATTCTAGGTGTCTATTTTTTTATTTTTTAATAAAAAAGGTGCACATTTTTTCAAAAGTGTGGTTAATTGAAAAAACAAATGAACAAAAAAGACGAATTTGCAATTAATATTCTTTGAAAAATTTCGAGAGCAAGGGAAGTTATTTTTATAGAATTTGAAGAAAATACTTAATATATGTGAATTATTTTGGTCTAGAATTAAAGAATGGAATTTGTACTTGATATTGTGCAACTATCAAATCTTAAAAAAAAATTCTCTTCAATTGGCGTGCGCTTGAATTCTAGACTTCAAAATCAAATTTTTTACGAAAAATCTCTAACTTTAAAGAATTATATTTTCAATATTTACACTATTAAATTTGTTATATCTTAGCCTATTTGACTCTAAATTTATTGAACTTTAAAATGATCCTACTTTGATAGCTCTAACATCTATTTTTACAGACATATTTGAATTTGAAGTGAAGCAAGCATTTAAAAGTAATCAGTACAAATGTACTGAAACTTTTTGACCCCAGTGTACATGCAATTGTTTCAACTGGAAGTTGTCTCATCACTTCGACATTGAAAACTTGCCTATATTATTTTTTATATAATTAACATATTTACCAATTATATTCGTATATTTATATACTTAGTAATAACTTAAACATTTAAACAAGATTTGATTTATTCCATTCTGCAACAAATTATATTTTGATGTTATTTTAATTTATCTGACAGTCTAATTTTTAAATAATGATAAATTAATTAATTTTCAATAAAAGACTTAATAGTCCTTTTTACACTTTCAGTAATTCTTCTATGTTTTTTTAAATTTATTTTCTAATAGTAAAAATGTTACAGTTTCTCCGTATCATAAAAAAATGCTTTTTACTCCCTGAATTTCTGGGTATAATTCCAGGGAACTTTTTCACAAAAGAATATTGCTTGACGTAATAGAAAAATTTTAATTTGATAAACAGACATATATCGGTCAGGGAAAGAGAGAATTTTATTCAAAATAAAGAAAAATTCAATTTTATTCAAAAATTAAAATTTATTGTGAACTTAGAAATTTTTTAATTTAATTAACTTTAAATGGTTTTATCACCATTTTGTATACATTGTTAGATCTTAATTTATTGTTAAATGTCAGTCCAAAGAAAGCGGAAATAATATTAGTAAAATTTCTGAAAAAAAGTCAGAAAAGTCAGGAAATTTTTGTCTCAATCCTTATTAGAGACACTCTGATAAATTTTCAATTAATTTTATTGTTTTCCTATTAAAGTAATATTTTTTAAAAATGTAATGATTAAAAAATGCATTCTTCCTTTAAACGTACAGGACTTTTAGCATTTAAAGTGGAAAAAATGTCCACAAAAATTTACAGATCTTTCAGAAATTAGTTTAAAGTTCAGAAAAAAATCTATTTTGTTGCAATGAGTGATGGCACTTACCTTTTCAAAAAATTCTTGTGTCAGAATAATGTCCTCAAAACGGTCCCATGATTGTAAAACAATGTTCAGAAATGCTTTCTTAAGCTTTTTTTCGGCCATTTTTGCATCCAATATAAAATTAAATTTGACAAGCAGGTACAATCGACATAATATTCCAATATGAAATGATCGTCATTATTTAAAATAATTATTGAATCTTTCTAAGTCCATAATATATTTTTTTCACATGAATCACACTAATAATATCACAGTATTTTATTTTAAAATAAATAAGTCTTCCTTTGTAATTTTGATAATTTACATAAAAAACTATTCTTTTATTATAACACGTGCTTTTTCCAATACAAATATACAATAGCGGGAGAATTTTTCTTTCACCATGCGTCCATCCATACACACTAATGCAGAACATGATAAAACACGCACAGCGCTAGTGCGCGCAGTAGCGTGAGTTTGCGCAGTGCGACTACTCTCATGATGGCGCCAATATTTAAATGATGATAATATTTACTGGATAAATTAATTGCACTTAACCTAAAGTCGTTGAGGTGACGCTCCACGAGAGAAGGTACCTTACCAGTTTCAGCGATGCCAGGCGGCGTACGAAACGAATCCCCACTCTCGCGGTTCCATATGAGCACACACACATTCATACGTCCGGTTTCTGCTCTCGTCGATGAGCCTCTTTTTCGTTTTCCTCGGCTTGCTTGAAAAGTGAGGCGTGAAATGTGAAAATAATACTTCTCAGAGAAGTATTATTTCAAAGATTATTATGAGAAAATGAATAATTAATCACTACATAATTTTTACTTTTAAAAATAATTGAATTCTTGTAATTGAGAAAAGAATATTATTAAAATGAATCAAAATAATTGAATTTTCGGGAATAACTTTGTTATTTATCGACATAATTGAATTCTTTCGAAAAATTATTTATGTGAATAATTGAATTTTTAGGAAGAATTTTTTTAAAATATAAAACAATAATTGATTTATTTCAAAAAAATTTAATTAAAATTGTATTTAAAATAATTGAAATCTTTCGATCTATTTTATTAGAATATTTAAAAATAATTGAATTCCTGTAAAACATTCTAATATTTTTGTAAATAATTGACTTCTTCCAAAGAACTTAAAAAATATCATTTAAATAATTTAATTTTTCGAGGAATTAAAATTAAATTTTTTTTTAAAAAAATACATTCTTTGATCAATTTTTGTAAAATTGTACTAAAAATAATTGAAATCCTGCGATGAATTTTTTTATTTAAATCAAAATAGTTGAATTATTGCGAAAACTTTTAGTAAAATGTTTGAAAAGAATTGAATTTCTATATAAAAAATTTTGTTATTTAAAAAATAATTGAATTCTTCATAAGAATTTTATAAACATTGTTTTAAATAATGAATTTTTTCGAAATTTAATAAATATTATGATAATTTTATTTTAAATTATTCAATTATTGTAGAAAACTTTGTTTATGAAAATAATTGAATTTTTCAATTAATTAATTTGAAATGGGTATTAAAAATAATTCACATTCTTCAAAAAAAATTATTATTCATAAAATATATGAATTTTTCTTTAGAATTTTATCAAATTTTTTTTTAGATTGAATTCTATTTGGCAAATTTATGAAAATAGTAAACATTGAAAATCATTAAATTGAAAAAAGTTTTTAAAAATATTTAAATTTTACAAAGAATTCTTTTACAATTTTTAAGAATATCTGAATGTCTGTGTGGCATTTCATTAAAGTTTTTTTAAAAAGAATACACGGAGAAAGAATATATATTAAATTTTGTAAAAATATTTTCAAATTGGGGAAAAAGTGCGACAAAGCGAAATTTTGATATAAAAAATACTAAACTTTAAAAAAACTTATGTGAAATTTAGTATAATTATATCAAATATAAAGAATATTAATTAAATTCCAATCTAACTTTAATGAATTTCACAAAACTTTTTTTAAAGTTTAGTATTTTCTATACCAAAATTTCGCTTTGTTGCACTTTTTCCCCAATTTAAAAATATTTTTACAAAATTTAATATATATTCTCTCTCCGTATAAAATTTCCTAAAAGCATGTTAATATTTATGAAAATAAGTGAATTATTTTTAAAAAATTTAATTACAATTGTATTTAAAATAGGTAATTAAATTCTTTGATCAATTTCTGTAATATTGCATTAAAAATAATTGAATTCCTGTAAAAATTTTTATTAAAACGTTTAAAAAGAATTGAGTTTCTGTGAAAAATTATGTAATTTTTCAAAATAATTGAATTCTTGATAAGAGTTTTATAAACATTGTTTTAAATAATTAATTTTTTCGAAATATAATAAATTATGAAAATTTTATTTTAAATAATTCAATTCTTGTGGATTTTGGATGAATTTTATTAATTTTTTTATAATTGATATCTTTTGTGAAATTTTGTGATAATACGAGATATTGAAAATAATTTAATCGTTTTAAAGAATTTGATTATAATTTTTGAGAATAGTTTTTTGATTTCTAGTATTTTTAGGGTTTCTTAATTAAAAAAGCAAGTATTTAATTACTATTTATATAATAAAAATAATTTAATATTTTTTCTTAATTTAAAGTTAAAAGATTATTAGTAAATACAAAAAGTACATAAAAATAATAACTTTTAAATTAAAATATTATAATTTATTAATCAACAATGGATTAAGTTATTACAGAATAATGAGAGAATACAAAAAAATAAGAATCTGATAAAAAATATATTTACTAATATATAAATTATTTAATAATTAATTATATATTAATTAATTATTCATTTTCTCATAATAATCTTTGAAATAGTACTTCTCTGAGAAGTATTACTTTCAAATTTCACGCCTCACTTTTCAAGCAAGCCGAGGAAAACGAAAAAGAGGCTCATCGACGAGAGCAGAAACCAGACGTATGAATGTGTGTGTGCTCATATGGAACCGCGAGAGTGGGGATCGTTTCGTACGACGCCTGACATCGCTGAAACTTGTAAGGTACCTTCTCTAGTGGAGCGTCACATACTTGTAGAAAAATCAAAAATATTTTCTAGAAATGACAATTAATATACATATATAATTAAAGATAATTATTTAAGTACTACATTTCTTTAATATAATTTTTAATTTTCATGATAGATTGCGCAAAAAAGGTTAGTTTTTACAGCTGTAAAATTTGTTTAAAGAAATTTTAACAAGCAGCAAAATAAGTTTTAAATAAAAAATAATTTTAAAAAATCCGTTCAGTTACACAAACAACAAAATTTTGACTTTTACAATGTCCCTGAACTCAATTATAATGTTAACAATTGTCAACTTATATCAATAAAAAAAACATATAAAAAAAGTTGAAAAATTAAGATATTAATATTGCTTCTGACGCAAAAAATAATTAATTTAATTGAAATTCTCGTATTTTAGAAAAGCAATAAGCAAAAAGCTAAAATAACCACTTTCCCCGCCTCGAAATCTTTTAATTTTTTTTAAAATGGTTTATGATAATACAATAAATGAATACCAGAAGAAAAAAAACTACCCAGGCAAGAAATTGTCAATTATGGCAAAATCCGTGACAAAAAAAACAAAATCACCGCTTTCCCCAACTTGAAATCTTTTGCATTTTTTTAAAAATGGTTCCTGATATTACAATAAGTAAATATCAGAAGACAAAAAAAAAACCGGAGCGAGAAATTGTCAATTTACTTACTTTTCAGGAATTTTTGCAAAATCCGTGATAAAAAAACCAAAATCACCACTTTCTCCGATTCAAAATTTATTGAATTTTTTTAAAAATGGTTTGTGATATCACAATAAGAGAATATCAGAAGAAAAAATTAACTACCGGGGCGTTAAATTGTCAATTTACTTGAAATTCTCAAATTTTGTCAAAATCCGTGAACAAAAAAAATTAAAATCACTACTTTCCCCGATTCAAAATTTATTGAATTTTTTTAAAAATGGTTTGTGATATCACAATAAGTAAATATCAAAAGAAAAAATTAACTACCGGGGCGTTAAATTGTCAATTTACTTGAAATTCTAAAATTTTGTCAAAATCCGTGAACAAAAAAAAATAAAATCAACAGTTTCCCCGATTCAAAATTTATTGAATTTTTTTAAAAATGGTTTGTGATATCACAATAAGTGAATATCAGAAGAAAAGATTAACTACCGGGGCGTTAAATTGTCAATTTACTTGGAATTCTAAAATTTTGTCAAAATCCGTGAACAAAAAAAATTAAAATCACCACTTTCCCCGATTCAAAATTTATTGGATTTTTTTAAAAATGGTTTGTGATATCACAATAAGTAAATATCAGAAGAAAAAATTAACTACCGGGGCGTTAAATTGTCAATTTACTTGAAATTCTCAAATTTTGGCAAAATCCGTGAACAAAAAAAAATAAAATCAACAGTTTCCCCGATTCAAAATTTATTGAATTTTTTAAAAAATGGTTTGTGATATCACAATAAGTGAATATCAGAAGAAAAAATTAACTACCGGGGCGTTAAATTGTCAATTTACTTGAAATTCTCAAATTTTGTCAAAATCCGTGAACAAAAAAAATTAAAATTACCACTTTCCCCGATTCAAAATTTATTGAATTTTTTTAAAAATTGTTTGTGATATCACAATAAGTGAATATCAGAAGAAAAAATTAACTACCGGGGCGTTAAATTGTCAATTTACTTGAAATTCTAAAATTTTGTCAAACTTCGTGAACAAAAAAAAAAATAAAATCAACAGTTTCCCCGATTCCAAATTTATTGAATTTTTTTAAAAATGGTTTGTGATATCACTATATGTGAATATCAGAAGAAAAAATTAACTACCGGGGCGTTAAATTGTCAATTTACTTGAAATTCTCAAATTTTGGCAAAATCCGTGAACAAAAAAAATTAAAATCACCACTTTCCCCGATTCAAAATTTATTGGATTTTTTTAAAAATGGTTTGTGATATCACAATAAGTAAATATCAGAAGAAAATATTAACTACCGGGGCGTTAAATTGTCAATTTACTTGAAATTCTCAAATTTTGGCAAAATCCGTGAACAAAAAAAATTAAAATCACCACTTTCCCCGATTCAAAATTT